TTCACATACCCCCTTGCTGTGCTCTGGGTCCAGCCTGAGGGGGACCCCAGAGGTGAGTGAGTTCTCACCACCCTTCTGCCCACAACAGGGGGTGAGTTTCTTTTGTTTTGGTGCCCGGACTGGTCCCCATGAGAACAACAGCTTCTGACTAGTAAGATGCAGAGAGCTGCATAAGAACTTAATGACAGCCTGTGCTGCTACAAGCAATCTGCTACCAAATGCGCATGGATTATAGGCTCCCCCCCATTCTGACTGCCACTAAATAGAAGGGAAGAGGTGACAATGGGAAGCTGGGAGGGGTCACTTGTGTCCCAGGGGCTGGCACCCTTCTCCCCACGGCAGGCCTGCACGATGAAGTTGCACATCCAGGCAGCACAGCTCTGAACTTCATCTTGAGGCTCAGGAAGTGAATGACCTGCCTCTGGGGCTTCTCTTCCAGCCTGGCTTCAGTGTTCAAGGGTCAAGTCCAAGGACCTCAGCATGATGGTCAAGCCTTCTGCATGTGGCCTCATCAGTGTCACCCCCTGTGCCACTCTGGCACACCTCAGGCATTCCTATTCTGACCTTTGTCCCGCAATATCCTGCAGCTCCGATCTAACTTTACCCATTCTGTAAGGCCCTCTGCACAGCCACCTCCTGTAGCTCAATAGCTCTAAGCCCAAGTCTCCTCTGAACTGAGATTATTCCATTAAATGCTCCTTGAGAAGGATTCTGAGGCTTAGTCTAGGAGGTCAAGTAAACAAGGGGCATGAAATACTACACCAGGGAGAAACTGGAAACCAGAGAATGAGGAAGTAGGAGGTGAGGAGCTGGAAAAGTAGAGGATGATAGCAGATGGCAGGAGATGTGGACATCGTGGGGCTGGCAGGCGGGGCCAGGTGAGGGGCCTGGCTGCAGAGCATGCTCAGGCCGAGCTGGGCTCCAAACGAATCTCACTCTCTCTCAGTGTGGCTGCCTAGCTGCTGCTTGCCTGGGGACAGGGTCTTTCCACATCAGCTTTCTGATCCCCAATGGAGGGTACTTTGTAGCTGAGGGTCATGTTTGTGCTTCTCGCCTGCGCACTGTCATGACTGAAAGCTGCACTGAATGCATGAGCCTCTGGAAGCCCTGCCTGCTCTCCTCCCGTTGTGGTTCCGGCTTTCTGGTTGTCTGGGCCACCCCCAACTACCCCAGCTTGTCTGTGTGCAATATTTACACGCTGACCACTGGACAATTACAGAGGAGTGTTCCCTTTTCTGTTTCCTGAGGGCTGGCATAAAACCATCAATTTAATTTTGAACCCTGCCAGCACTGTATAGACAGGCCTCCCAGCCTCTGCCCTCCGTCTGAGCTTGAGGAGAATCACAAAGGGTCCTGCTTTGTGCCTGTGAGATGTCTCTTCTGTGCGACTCATCCTCCAAGCATGGTCAGCAGCATCTCAATGAACACAGTGGAGCACACACTACTCCCTGTGACTGGCTATGCACTGGGTCTACAGGGTCTCACTACGTAGATCAGACTCTAGTGATTCGCCTGTGTTCAGCCTCCCAAGCGCTGGGATTACAGGTGAGCGCCACCATGCCCAGTCTCAATCGCTGTCTCAGCACACCCTGGGGGCAGGACTGGCTCTCCAGGGATCGAATCCCAGCTGCTGTGCTCTGCCTAAGCAGGAGCTTTAGTCTGCTGAGCTATCTGGCCGGCCCTTATGTACTGGATTATAACAGCAGTTACTTGCATTAGCTTCAGGTGACAGCCTTAGCACTGATCACCAACAACCCCTGCCATTTCAACAGCCTGCACATCCAGGGAAGGGCAGTTCCCAACCTCTGACAAGTGAGATGATATAATGATGAGGTGGTGGTTGGAAACACAATGCTCCTAACAGGAAAGGCCTCCTCACTAAGCAGAGTGGCAAAGGGAGGCTTGGCACCAGCTTCCCCACCCCACAGGACAAGTGTCAATCATCTCAGCCCCCTTACAAAATGGCCGACACTTTTTGATTCCTCAAGACATCAGCACCCCTTGCTCTTCAGCTGTTCCCAACATAAATCCCATCTGGTCCACTCTCAGGAAGCATGAGACCCACTCCTAGTGAATTCCCACTGATGGTGCGTGGCTGTGGTTACCATCACGAGGTGGAACCCTTCCATTTAAATCTACTCCACTTGGGGC